GCCCAGGTACAGACGTACACCATACACTCCCAAAAGCAAAAAAAAACTATACAGTAGAGACTGTGTTAGCTCACTGAGTTATAACCTGAAGTCCTAAGTCCCGTGTGGCACAGTTGATAGAGCATGGCGCTTGCAATGCCAGGGCTGTGGGTTCGATTCCCATGGGGGACCGGTATGAAAAGTTTTGTGGTCACTAATGTAAGTCGCTCTGGATAAGAGCGTCTGCTAAATGACTATGAACATCCACAATATATATATTTTTAAAGTGAGTGCGCATCCCTTTTTTCTTACCTTATCCAGCTCTCAGCTGCAGAACGTTCCCAAATATGGGAACAGGCGGCGGTACTAGTGGGAGGTTCCTGGGCCTCCGAGGCTTCAGCAGAACCAGGAGCAGGAGGGACAGGATCCGACACAGAGAACAACGTAAGTTCCCATCATTTTACACTGAACAAAAATATAAACGCAACATGTAAAGTATCCCAGAAATGTTCCATACGCACAAAAAGCTTATTTCTCTCAAATTTGGTGCACAAATTTGTTTATATCAATGTTGGTGAGCATTTCTCCTTTGCCAAGATAATCCATCCACCTGACAGGTGTGGCATATCAAGAAGCAGACTAAGCAGCATGATCATTACACAGGTGCACCTTGTGCTGGGGACAATACAAGACAATTAAAAAATTTGCAGTTTTGTCACACAACACAATGCCACAGATGTCTCAAGTTTTGAGGGAGTGTGCAATTGGTATGCTGACTGCAGGAATGTCCACCAAAACTGTTGCCAGAGAATTGCATGTTAATTTCTCTACCATAAGCTGCCTCCAACGTCGTTTTAGAGAATTTGGCAGTACACCCAACCAGCTTCACAACCGCAGACAACGTGTAACCACGCCTGCCCAGGACCTCCACATCCAGCTTCTTCACCTGTGGGGGGTGGGGGGAACATATTCTGTCTGTAATAAAGCCCTTTCGTGGGGAAACACTCATTCTGATTGGCTGGGCCTGGCTCCCCAGTGGGTGGGCCTATGCCCTCCCAGGTCCACCCATGGCTACATCCCTGCCCAGTCATTTGAAATCCATAGATTAGGGCCTAATACATTTATTTCAATTGATTGATTTCCTTATATGACCTGTAACTCAGTAAAATCATTGAAATTGTTGCATTTATATTTGTATTACTTTTATTACTATTGTTACTGAGGGTACAACACACTACTGCCCTCAGACTGGAAGAGAGGAAAGATGGATTGGTCATCAACGTAATATATCATACTAATTTGAGTGTCCCAGATTTATGTTTACTATGTTACGACTAGTCTAGGAGACCAGGTTGACTTTCCCTAACCCTAACTGTAACCCTAACCCCTAAGCCTAAAATAGCCATTTTCCTTGTAGGGACTGGTGAAATGTGCTGACATTTTCCTTGTTAAGACTTCTGGTCCCCACAAGGATAGTAAAACCAAACACACACAGTCCTGGTTCTGGGCACGCCTCAAGTTCAATGATTGCTCAACAGTGCTGGCAGGTTTTTATTATTTTTATTTTTATTAAAAGCCAACATGCTTTAGCATCAAGGTGCTATTTCTTTAATTAAAGCACTACGCTGCCACTCAGCAGGGGGCTTCATCAACATGGCTGCATGGTCCTGTAGAAATGAGTCCGACCTAGAACGACATCCTGAAGCTTGAGGGCTTTAACTCTTTGATCAGTGTGTAACTGACTGACAATGCAGTGTGTAACTATCAGGTGACATTCTATTCATTGGAGTGACCTGCCAATAACAACAGGAGGGTGACTGTTTGAGGCATGAGCTTGCCGTTTATTATTGTTATCAAGAAGTTACCATGGTTACCTGCATTGAAATACAATACGATAAACCTCTAAACCTTTGTGAGAAAGCTCCAACTCCATGACACGGGGTAGAGAGCTACTGGATTATTACACAGACAGTATATCTTATTGGCAATTAGATATGTTTAGCAAGTACATTCTCCTTGTACAATATACAAGTTAAAAAATATAATTTGTCTTGTTTGTTTGCATTGATAAAAAAAAAAAAAAGTTTTTTATGCTGTCCGGTTGACAAAGTGTTTTCAGGTCGTTAGGTATTTAAGTATGGAGGCGAGACTGAAGAGCACAGGTTTGTCAAACAGAGTATAACCAAAACATACTGTATAATACATATGCATAGGGAGGCACATCTATGCATGTAAATGCTTTATGTGACAGAAACAGACAGGAAACAAGAGAAGAATCAGTTTCTTCATGATCAGAGGAAAACAACAACAGAATTCAGAAGAGAAGACCAGGCATTGAGGAGCAGGCAGCTGAAACAGCAGTATTCTCTGGACACACTCACACCCTCTTTTTCTCTCACACACACACACACACACACACACACGCATACGAATCCTAACACACCACGATACATAAAACACCAGAAGCATGCCACAGACTAGTGTTCGACAAACAAACACACACAGACAATGAAAGGGCACACTACATACAGTGGTACTAAGGATCCCCTTACTCAGTCAATGGAGGGTCTCCACCCAGCAGAGAAACAAACAAACCATTCAGAAAAACAACAACTGCTCTGATACCCCAGAAAAGGATGAAGACACCGATCTAAAGTGTTTCCCAGCACAGCTGATCCTAGATCAGTAGTTACGGGTAACCTGGAGCCCCAGAGAGGCTGAGAAAAGGAATGTTCTAGTCCTCCCTCGTTGCTAAGGATGGCAAACTTACATCGACCAATCCAATAGTTTTTCAATCACGAGGGGGAGTGAACAAGTGCACACTTCGGAGAAAAAGTTGGGAAAATGAGAACGTAACCTTGGACATAAAGACCAGGACAACTTCCTCCTCAACCCTACCTGCGTTACACAAAGGGCTGATCTGAAATGGCACCCTATTCCCTAATATATATATATATATATATATATATATAAATACTTCTGTCCTCATAAGGCTCTGGACAAAAAGTGTGCATAGCACTACATTGGGAATAAGGTGCAATGCCAAACAAAGACAAAGCGCTTTAAGCAGTAATCATGTGTAGAATGGAAGGGTTGTGTTGGCGAAAAAGCTAATGTTATGTTAGACATTTGAGATTAAGTGGGTAGATAGATTATTACCATGATAAAGTACATACAAAACACATTATATATTCAATTACTGTATCATCATCATCAACCTGGAAACAACCCTTTCCAGAATACTGTAGTAGACGATAAGCACTTATTTCCATATGGACAACAGACCAAGAAAGTAATGTGGTTTAGTGTGATGCACCTAGCAAAATAATAAACAGAGACTGAAAACTGCACATTCAACCGTGAAACACCAATGTAGAACAAAGGAATTTGCAACGGACTCCAACTGTGTGTCCTTGACCAAATGCAGCCAACCAACAGTGGGCCTGTAGTTTCCATGACAACCACAACAATTAATACTAAAATTGCCAGAGATAACAAAATGTGCGGTAGCTTCTCGAAACAGAGAAAATTAAGTTAATGTGGTGCTTCAAAAAGTACACAGCAGGCATTCATCTTTAAAAAGGACAGAAGAAGCACAAAATGTAATAGTATCATTATGATGTTTGTTTAGAAAATAAAAAAATATGAACAACTTCTGTTGGACTGGAATAAACAACAAGTTACCCCAGAAACTCAGAAACAGTTTCCATAATAACTTTGACACAGAAGAGCCTGGGAGGAAGCACCCAACCTCTAGCCTCATCCCCTACTGTCTGTGCTGTAGACAACTCTTCTAACATTTGTTGTCATAACAGGACTTACATACAGTATGGGGCGAGGCTACCCCACCTCACCTCCAGAAACTACCAACTACCCTCAGACCCCACATTAGTGCTTAGTGGGACCACAAGGCACCCTGGGAAACGGAGTTCTAGCCAACATCTCCCCCCAGGGTACAAGGCTTGGGCTGTAGCCGTTACTTTGCTATGGGAATGCTGCGTTAAGGACATCGGTGTGAGGAATGGTAACTAAGGGAGACTGAGTACCACATACTGTGGCAACAACAAAAAACATGTCAACAAAAACATGAAATAAAAAAAACATTTAAAAAGTATAAAATGTCTTTAAAAAGGCTAAACCAATATCCTCTCCAACATACTGAATAGTAATCCACTGGGAAGTTAGAGACTACAATACCCAGAATTCTTCCTTCAGTAACAGAAAACACAACACTCTATATTACCACTGGAAATATCCCTTTTTTCTCAGAAAATGGTTTAACCGGGCAGAGGGAGACCACTGATACCACTGAGACGTTCGATGAAACCATTTTGGTTTTTGGCACAGGCCTTTTTTCCCCAACTCTGAGAAGGGCTCACTCATCTCACTAGCTCACAATAGACAAACTAGCTATGTGTTTCTTTCTTTTGGTTAATAAGAAAAAAATACACAAATAATGAATGGCAAAAAAGGGAGAGAGAGTGGAACAAAGACAAACACAACAGGTTAGCTAGGTTGTTCTCCCTCTGGTGAGCAGCGTGCTGCTAGTCTCAGCCTGGGTCTGGTCTGAGACAGGTCTAAACTCAGGCTGAGCTTTAGTTTAGGGATTTAGGCTTGTTATTAAATTAGGTTATTAAGCTCGTTAGGGCTCTCCAGATAATCACAGTGGTTTATGAGGGGACTAGACGGCAACTGTTCCTGGAGAGAGAGGGGGATGAGGAAGAGGAGGAGAGAGGGAACAAAAACCCCTCCGTTAATCTCGGTTCTCTCGTAGACCTCTCTCAGATTTTTGTTTTTCGTAATTTTACATTTTCTTCTTTTCATTGTAGTAATTGTGATCACGTCTCAGACGTTCAGGTGCGGCAAAAAAACGTACATTCCTGGGAGAGGCAAAGGGAAGGAGATGTCAGGTCGTTTACAAAAAATAAACAGTCCCAAAAGGTCCAACCACAACATGAACTCAAGACATAGTTCCTGTAGTTACCTGGGACTGGGACATCGTTGGGGTCATAAATTCAATCTCATCTGTAGCTCTTCTGCTGCTGCATCAGACCAACGTTCTCATACACTCTGGAGCAGTCCTCCCTCATTCTATACACACACACCGAGGGAAACACATCAGCCAAGGTATTTCTCAACTGAAACTGACTAGCTGAGCGCTAGTTTAATTATACACTGAGTATACCAAAGATTAGGAACACCTTCCTAATATTGAGTTGCACCCCCCAATTTGACTTCTGAATAGCACACATACACAATCCAAGTCTCAATTGTCTCAAGGCTTAAAAATCCTTCTTTAACCTGTCTCCTCCCCTTCATCTACACTGATTGAAGTGACATCAATAAGGGATCATAGCTGTCACCTGGATTCACCTGGTCAGTCTATGTCATGGAAAGAGCAGGTGTTCTTGTTTTGGTGTATACTCCGTGTAGTAGCTGCTAGTTGGTAGGTACTCACTCTGCACAGGTGGGGGTGGGGGTGCAGGGAGGCAGAGGGCTCTGCAGCTGGTCTCCACCAGTCAGGTCAGACAGAGAATACTTAATGTTGGTGTACTCCCTCCCCTTTATCTTACTCTTCTGTTAAAGAGAGGAGGAAGGATGGATGGATGTTAGAAACAGACTTTCACAACCACTCTTATTGACACACACGGACACATACACCCAGGGACACACACACACGGACACACACAGACAAACACGGACACAGAGAGAGACACAGACAGACACAGACAGACAGACCTGTTCCTCCTCTATGCGTCTCTGTAGTGTCTCTATGTAGTGCTGGACTGCCATGTAGATGAACCTGTACTGGGCCTCAGTCTGAACCATCCCAGACCGCTGGGAACGAACCATCTGGATGCTCTTAGGAACGTCTATGTCACAGTCCACTCCTACAGAGACAGAAGAGGTTAGACTAGGAACGTCTATGTCACAGTCCACTCCTACAGAGACAGAAGAGGTTAGACTAGGAACGTCTATGTCACAGTCCACTCCTACAGAGACAGAAGAGGTTAGACTAGGAACGTCTATGTCACAGTCCACTCCTACAGAGACAGAAGAGGTTAGACTAGGAACGTCTATGTCACAGTCCACTCCTACAGAGACAGAAGAGGTTAGACTAGGAACGTCTATGTCACAGTCCACTCCTACAGAGACAGAAGAGGTTAGACTAGGAACGTCTATGTCACAGTCCACTCCTACAGAGACAGAAGAGGTTAGACTAGGAACGTCTATGTCACAGTCCACTCCTACAGAGACAGAAGAGGTTAGACTGTAGACACAGATACCCTTGGGGTCTGAACAAAGCAGAAGCTTTCTTTATGGAGACGATCTCATGTAGCACAAATAGATTAAGTATTTGCACTCACCTTTTTCCCTGATGACATCAATGAGGATGTCAATCACTATGAACGTTCCTGTTCGCCCGATACCAGCACTGGAGAGAGAGAGGGAGTGAATTAGAGGGCAACAGTACACACAAATGTATCTCTGTGTGTGTGTGTGTGTGTGTGTGTGTGTGTGTGTGTGTGTGTGTGTGTGTGTGTGTACCTGCAGTGCACCACTATGGGCCCAGCCTCTAGAATGCTCTCCTGTTTGAGGTTGACCTCCTCTAGGAAGTCCAGAACACCGCCGGGGTCTGTAGGGACACCATGGTCCGGCCACGCTCTGAAATGGTACTGCCACACTGTCCGCTCTGTGTTACCCTGAAACACACACACACACACACTGATAAGGACACACTTAAAAAAACAACAACAACAAAAAACAGTCCCTCCTCTTACCTGTCCGACCATGGACAGTTTGAGTTCTCGCAGGATGTAGTCGTGAGCAGACGTCTCTTTGACGTTGCGGACACGCATGATTCCATACTCCTTCAGAGCCGACATGTCTGGCCAGTACTTCACACACTTACTCTGTGGGGAGACAAAGCATCTCAATTGACATGCATACTTCTGCTCCAAAGCAGCGAATGGGGATCCATAATAAATACAAATACAGCAGCAGTTCACTGAAACCTATGAAGCAGCTCTCCTGGTTTTCAGAGATGCTTGAAATGGAGAACCACAACAGCAGTCAGCCAGTTACCTTTCCCCGCTCTACCTCCTTGGTAGTCATGACGATGACCCGGGAGTTCTCCTGGAAGACCATCCTCCAGAAGTCACTGATGGTGTACTGTAGACAGCCCTGTGTGGCGATGTACGACTTCTTCAGCTTGGTGCTGTTACACTTCGACTCCAACTCTGGCTAGAGAGAGAAAGAACACGGAGTTCCACAGAGACAGGCGCTGGATGTAGTAGTGTGTAGAGGAAAGCAGATGTAAGTACATTGCAAGATGAGTAACAGACAGCGGTTGTCTTAGCAGTTCACGTCACACACTCAATGAATGAAAATAAAAAAACAAGACACGGCACAAACTGTAACAGTAAGCTTGCATAATAATTTGCATCTTGTAGAGCTGTCACATACAGGAAATTGCAGACTATGTTTGAAATAGAGCTGAATGTGAGTGTATGGAGTTTACCATGATGTCATTTTGCTCCCATAATGTGTGTCTGACAGGTGTGTGTGTCCTGAGGATGAAGTGAGTTTACCATGATGTCATTTACTACCATGATGAGATTGGCGTTAATATAGTCCGAGCCAGCCTCAGATCCATCCCCATCATTCAGCACCACACGAGTGTGATCAACTAGAGAGAGAGAGAGAGAGAGAGAGAGAGAGAGAGAGAGAGAGAGAGAGAGAGAGAGAGAGAGAGAGAGAGAGAGAGAGAGAGAGAGAGAGAGAGAGAGAGTCAGGATTAAAATCAGACTAATATCCAGGCTCTGCATACTTACACAACAGGGTGGTCAGTCAGTTGTGATATTTGATAGGGCAGGATGTGTGTGTTTCTCACAGGGCAGGATGTTCTTGTATCGGTTCTTGTTCTTGTTTTCAGCTCTCTGCCCCTCCTTACGGCTGTAGAGCAGCTTACACTCCTGCTGCTGCAAAGTCTGGGCAGGACAGAGGAAACGGGTTACTTGTTAAAAGTCTATGGGTATCTGCTGTCTATGGGTATCTGCTAGCAGATACCCATAGACCTCCAGTAATTTCGCTAATGTTATTTAGCAATTGCACTAGCGTTAGTTAGCAACTTCCTTCAAACTGCACGCAGAGACATACAAATTGTATCCACGGGTTCATCTGACTCTGGGGAAGTAGATAAAGGACTTCATTGCAAACATCCTGAAGTATCCCTTTAAAATGTATCCAACGTTTTGTTTTAATCGATTTGATTTATTCAGATGTGGAGCGTGGCTAGGTTATCGGGAGAAAGACAGATGACATGTGAGAATGTAGCTTGAAGATGTACAACAGTATAAAAACTTTTCCTGACATAAGAACAACACTACATTAAATAAAATAAATTCAACGCAATGGCGCGTGTCTTACCTCAAACTCTTCCCAGAAGCCCTGTTTGACCTTGTCCGTGGCCTCGGCCAGTTTACTGAGCTCTCTCACTCTGCTCTCGATCTCTGCTGCGTTGATACGCGTGGTGTTCAGGGGCTGGGGAGAGACATATACAAGTTTAGAAACACAATAAATCTATGGATTATTAAAGTTTCGGAAAGACTTAAAGGGCCTAAATGATCAAGATCAGGGTAATGATATCTAGCTTTCTGACAACAGAGAGACAGCAGGCTGAAGAGCTACCTGTTTGAGTTGCAGCACTGTGCCCAGTGTCTCCACCATGGGGTTCTTCTTATAGTGCTCCACCAGGTCTGTCAGAGAGTCAAACTTCTCTCCTCCACCCACGTCATACTTCAGGTCATGCTGAGAAACACACACAACAACACAACCTTGATCACACTATGTGGACCGTCGTTTCACCCACAGAGATATGCGAGAGGCTCTTTGACTATTTTAAACATCATGTAGTGTATCCGTGGTCTTAAGTCACATCTTTAGAAAAAAATGACAAAAAAAGTGAATTCATTACCTGGCAGCGGATCATGACGTGTGTGACCTTGGGCTTGTTGTCACTGCTGTCCGTCTTGTCGTCGCCGGTGCGGACGGACAGAACGAAGTCTCCGGGATGGCTCTGGCTCTCTCTGACCAGGAAACTACCGTTCTTTCCCTTCTCCGTCAGCAGCTTCTCAGCCTCCCGGCCTGACAGGTGCCCATGGAACCACCTGGGGGAGACACACACACGGTTTATAGAACTCTACTGACATAGCCATCAAATCCACTGGATTGGTGGCTAAAGCAGAGACGGACTGACACTCAGGCTAGAGAGGTACAGACAAACACCCGTGTTGTGTCAGTGTTAGGGCTCACCTCTCAGAGGTGGGGTCAGCACAGTTGAGGGGGTATTTGAGCTCGATGACGTCGCCGTTCTTCTCCTTGAGTTGGCCGTGGTGCTCCATGTAGTACTGAACCAGCTCAGCCAGGGTGGCGAACTTCTCCCCCCCGTACAAGTCATAGTAGTCCCCCGTGTTCTGGATCTTAATGTGGGTGACCGCGCCGTTACGCCTGCCCAGTGGAACACAGGATTGAGAGAAAAATGAAATATTAAAAAACACACCCCCCATCTAAAACTGAAACAGTCTGGTAACCAGTCGGTGGTGAACTATAATCTTCAGTTGGCCTAATCCTTTATAATAAAGGGAAAGGATAGAGTATAAATTGGGAAAGTGTTTTCTTGTTTACTTGTATGCTGTAGGCCTAACTAAACTAAATAGGCCCCATAGCTATTTCTTTCTAAAATATCAGTGTGAACCCAGCCTACGGTAGCTCCATTGTCTGGTGATCTGGTGCTACAATAACTCACCTGACAGAGAGGGTGAAGTCTCCAGGGTTGCTCTTGCTGGGTCGGGCTAGGAAGCTCCCGTCCACCCCCCGGGTTAACAGCAGGTTCTCAGCCTCCACCCCTGTGATGTTGGGGTGGAACCACCTAAACACCACAACAACATCATCATCACCAGCAACATCACAGGTCAACTAGCTTAGCTAACTGCATTTGGAGTAATAGGCTACACAGCTTAAATACAAATAAATATTTCCAGCCACAACAGACTCATGGAACACACCACAGCCATGACCAGCTTTCACAACAAGGTAGCTGTCCTTGTCCTGTCTATAGTTTCATTTGGATTTCATCATAACTCTATTGTAAATGCCAGTGAGTCATCTTCCCAGCTGCGTTCAGGGCCCTCGACTTACCCTTGGGGAGATAACAAGCAGTCATAAATCACAGGGATCACTGGCAGCCTAGAGAACATATGTGGCCTGAATATAATGGTGTGTAGTTTCAAGTTTTAATGTCACAAGCACAAGTACAGTGAAATTCCTTTCTTGTAAACTCCAACCCCAACAATGCAGTAATCAATAACTTAACACTAAAAATAACAAGGTAAAACAAAAACACATGAGATATAAAAATAAGAACACGAACAAGTAAGCAAGCATAGTATATACAGGGTCAGTTCCAGTACCATATTTACAATGTGCAGGGATACTGGATCGATAGAGGTAGATATGTATGAGGGTATGGTGACTAGGCATCAGGATATATGATAAACAGAGTAGCAGCAGTGTATATGATGATTATATGTGAGTGGGTGTGTGTAGAGCCAGTATAAATGTATGTGCATATGATGTGTGTGTGAGCAAATGATGGAGTGAGTGTTTGTGTGTGTGTTGGAGTATCGGTGTGTGTAGGGCCCTGTGAGTGTGTAGGGCCCTGTGGATGTGCATAGAGACAATGCAAAAAAATAAAAATAAAAATAAAAATAAAAAGGTCAACTCAGATAGTCCATGTAGCCATTTTGTAAGCTATTTAGCAGTCTTATGGCTTGGGGATAGAAGCTGTTCAGGAGCCTGTTGGTGTCAGACTCGATGCACCCGGTACTGCTTGGCGTGCAGAAGCAGAGAGAACAGTCTATGGCTTGGGTTGTCGGAGTCTAACAATTTTCCAGCCTTCCTTTCACACCGCCTGATATAGAGGTCCTGGATGGCAGGGAGCTCAGCCCCAGTGATGTACTGGGCTGTCAGCACCACCCTCCAAGCAGTGATGCAGCCAGTCAAGATGCTCTCAATGGTACAGCTGTAGAACTTGTACTCAGAGATGTCATGGGCACAACAATGCAAATCAGAAGAAAGAAGATATTGATTTGGGGGAGGGTCAAGGTCAGTGATGTACGACTAAAGGATGATGTGAGAATTATCAGGAAATCCTCATTAATCAGGAAAAATCACGTGTACAGTGAGAGACACTGAACAATTGAAGTCAGTATCCATTTACTGAGTATGTTGAGGTTGGTTTCTTTCTAAATAGTATACAAGCCTGTCGCCCAAACTGAACCAGATGCATTGAACCCCCTAGGCTTCTCAGCTGGAACTGACAGCTAGGTCCCTTCCCCCAATGGTAGCTAGTTAGCTAGCTAGATTGTCTTGTTAGCAATTGTTAGCTAAGCATTCATATTTATAATTGATAACTAAACACGTCTCCAAAAATCGTGAACGGCGCATGTTATGGGCAGATAGCTTGTGAATAGCTCACACACAGCATTCAAAGGTAACTGCATTGTGGGCTTCAATTTCACGGATGCCCATTGCCCAATAAAGAACCTAGCTTGCTAGCTACTACATACTAACGTTAGTTACTAGTTAACCTAATGTTGCTGACTCGAAAACACGGACAATGCACATCCTTGTCAAATACGATTTGTTTTAGGTCGTTAACTGACGATCACATGAATGTATTCATCATCATCATCATTATCATCATCATTGGGATTATCTCGAAAATGTAAACAGTTCTAGGCTAATGTTAGCCGACAGGCTAGTTAGTTGTCTACCTAGTTTCCATCAGATTGGTTTCCATGATCAGTCCTTACCTCCGAGATGTCATATTTTTTCAAGCCTTGTTTCCTCGCGCTTGCGTTAGTTCCTACAACTAGCTGGCTTTTCCAACTATTGTGCGTTTCTTCCGCAGTCTACTCCCAGCGAAAATGCCTCGTAAGGTCCAGACTCCGCTCAAAACGGGCACAAAAACATTGACATCGATTGGAAATTTTAACAGCAACAAAAAGTCCATAGGCCTCAGCCCGGAGACTTCTGAGAGCGAGTCGATTGTTGAAACGTCACCAGACATGCGACACACAAAAAAAAATTCAATCGCATAGCGCTGACTAAATTTGACCCTCGCTTTATCCCGTTTAAATCCTTACGTGGCAGTCTCACCGAAGCTAGCTAGGAAGTTTACAAAATATCCTCTATAGCTTGTTCTGAGGCTCCTGCTGCGATACATGTGCAATTTTAGGGGATATTTGAAATCGCTGGTACACAGAGAATCTACAATTGTCACGTAACGCTAGCTAAAATCTAAGCATGTTCACGGCTTCAGAGATCGTTGTTCTTCTTGGGTTCATGTCCGCAACAGCGTCCGGCTACTTCGTTAGCATAGACGCTCATGCAGATGAGTGCTTCCATGAGCGGGTTAACTCGGGAACCAAGATGGGCCTGATGTTTGAAGTTGCTGAGGGGGGCTTTTTGGACATTGACGTTGAGGTGAGATGGAATTTGTGCTTTTGTGATTGATTTGGGTTCACTTGCGCAAAGATGGTGGGGAGTGGCCAGCGAGATGGCTAATGTCGCTAGCTAACGTTATACAGGAATAATTGTTAGTTAGCTAGCTACTCGCTGCCATTCCTAACAGCTGTCAGTGTCACATAACTTGAAACAGGTCATCCACATTTCTTTGACAGCCGACTATAGGTACTGCTCCACCACATTATGCATTCACCAGCAGATAGTTGAGAATTGTAGTCATACAAATTAGATCCATATTTTTAAGGGATTTCACAAGTAGGTAAGATGTTTGCTACCATGTGGTGCAGACCGCCCCAATTCCCCAACCACTGAATGAAATATTTTGCAAAAACGGTCCAGACAATTTTTAAAATCTTGATTAGAGCGCTAGCACACCACAACTATGTTGCAACATGAGGTGTCTAATATTTGTATGATATTGTCTAATATGTAGATAACAGGACCTGATGGCAAGCAGATCTACAAAGGAGACCGAGAGTCCAGTGGAAAGTACTCCGTGGCAGCTCACATGGATGGGACCTACAAGTTCTGCTTCAGCAACAAGATGTCCACCATGACACCCAAGATCGTCATGTTCACTATTGACATTGGAGAGGCACCCAAGGGACAGGACATGGAGACTGAAGGTAAGCTTTAGTTGTGTGTGTGTGTGTGTGAATTAAAGGTAGAATCAGCGAAATGACACTGCCATGTGCAGCACCGCAGATATTGAGATGAGCGAGATGTATGACTTTGCTCTCACACAGTCACACACAGTATCTGCGCATGTGCACGGGTTCGCTTCCTGCTGATGACAGCGTGGTAGCCAGGGCACCAAAACAGCAGAGAAGTTGAGCCTCGCGCTTCAATACTTTTAGTTGTTGCGGAAATTGACCTACTATGCTGTTTACTTTCTGCATCTACATCATATCGCTGATTCTACTTTTAAGCTCTATTCTTCATATTTGTCAATTGCTATAACGGATGATCACATTTCTGTTTTCACATACTATTCCTCTTTTCTTTATGGTTCTATTGTTCTCTTTCTCTTCATCCTTTTGACTGGGTTTGACTGTCTTTCGCTTCACCCAGGTGGAGAGAGTTGGGATGGTAGGATTCACGCCTCGCCTGGAACTATGTTTGCCCAAATGCATTCGGTTTCCTCTAATCTGAGTTGAATGAGTTTTCCAGTGCAATCTAATGTTCACGAATCACCACTTAGTTACATTAGTACATGTTGCCTGGGAATGATGTGAGGAAAATGTGTCTGAAATAACCCCTCACAATTTATAGATGCAGGAATATGTTGTGTGCATGATTTGAGACATCCAAGACAGAGACTAGTAATGTTGTTTTGCAGAGTGTTTTAATTGACAAAACACAACTTTGTTTGGAAGTTGTGTGTCTTCATTGTTTACTCTAATATGCATGTAATTTTCAGTAGAATGTTGTGGATTCTACGATGATCCTAATTGGTTGGTTGTGTGTTCTGTTCCAGCCCACCAGAACAAGCTGGAGGAGATGATCAACGAGCTGGCGGTTGCCATGACGGCTGTCAAGCATGAGCAGGAGTACATGGAGGTCCGGGAAAGGATACACAGAGCCAGTGAGTTACACTGCACGTGAAATAAGTGTCAGAGTAGACTAGTTAAGAACTTCATTGTTATGTTGCGTGTGCTGCAGTGTTTAGTGCTGACAGTTGGTCTTGAACTTATTAGTCATTGTTTTCTGTTTTCTTTCCATCCAGTCAATGACAACACAAACAGCAGGGTGGTTCTCTGGTCGTTCTTCGAAGCCCTGGTCCTGGTGGCCATGACTCTGGGACAGATCTACTACCTGAAGAGGTTCTTCGAAGTGCGCCGAGTTGTGTAACACCTCAAACCTTCCCACTGTGACTTCCTGTTGCACTGTTATCTCAGCACAGAGACAGCAAAACAGTCACACCTTGGAAATAAGACTCTTGGCAGATTTCAGTAAAAGTCTGAGTACAAATTGGATCCCTTTGTTTTTTTAAAAATGTTTTACCCTGTTACCACTTGTTATTTCCATCTTCATGTGCTTGTTACTGTTGTATGTGTTTTGAACTCTAGGCCTTTCAAAGATCATAGGGTTGATGATGTCAAGTTTGATTTATTTTCTCATCGCTGCGGGAGCAAATTATTTGTTATGGATTACTCCACGCAGCTTGGTCAACTGCAACTACTAGCCATGCACTAGCCAGGGAGGTTGTCTGTCTGTCTATAGTCAGTGGATGGGCTGTATAAAGTAACAAAACCAGGACCGGCATTTGCGAGATGCACACTGATGTTTATGCAAGAATGTATCCCTTATTTGACCCATTGTTTGGACCCCTTTGCAATTGATATGACGAAGTAGTTGATATAAAGTATGCATCAGCTCAAGGTGAGACACTTGGGGCTTGTTCAGGAGAGTGAAATATCACAGAACGTTCACGTAGAAATGTATTGTGCAGAACCGACATGCTTCTGTTATGTAGAATAAAGAATTGTGTCCAAATATCATATTTCTATCAGCAACTTTCTGAATGTTGCATCCTGCTAAAGATCCCTGAATATCTGAAGGAGTTTTATTGTCTGGGAAGCAGATGTTTTTGCTCTTTTTGCATTTGAGTCATAGATCCATGACACATAATCCTTCTGAATGTGTACACAGGGGCAGTGCAGGGATAACCTTTCTACTCCCATTTTACCACAGATGGGTTATAGTCGGTCAGCGTTTACTCAAACCTGGCCCTGGGGATCCACTGGGTGTGCAGGGTTTATTCTAGCTCATCACTAACACACCTGATGCAACTAATCAATTAATAATTTAACCCTGGATTAGTTGATTCAGGTGTGTTAGAGCTGCGATGGCACAAAGCCCCAGACCCCAATAGTTGCCCAGAATCAGGAATGAAGAACACTGTAATAGATTATATTGAGTGTGGGCAGGGGGCTGAAACTATGTTATGATTGCTGAGGTGAGGTGGTTGCTTCAACATTTTTTGGGGGGACTGGTTGTAGTTTGGGGTGGGGAAGGTTGGGAGCTCTACTTTATGTGGCAGTAAGCCATTTTTTATTTTCTGGTGCATATTCAGTGTGGTGCAACATTCAGAACATAGGTATGTTGATGTATAAGAATGGACATGGCTTTCCATTCCGCTAGAGGATTAATTGTAGGCCTATCCTATAATCTATACACTATATATCTATCTGAAACACCATAAATGTTGTGTCTTACTGAATATGCCTCAGTTTTGTACTTTACATGATCTGATAAGCTCAGATGTAACTATCACGTGAGACTGGAGTGACTACTGAGGAGAAATTAGGTCAAGTGACTCCTGTACATCAATGAAGTTCTGCAGCATGTACCTGTAAAAATGTAAAGAAAGATGCTTGTCTGTGGATCCAGGTTTAATAAAACAAATACAATATTCCTAAAAGATGCTGTTTGTGTTTTATTTTTGTCTAATCTCTTGACATGTATTATTTATTGGTAAAAATATATATATTTTACAACTATTGGGGACTAAAGATCACTGAAATTATTCAGAATGATGAACTGCCGCAGGCAGTACAAATATTCATAGTGCTTCCGATTTCCAGCCGGACTGTAAACATCGATGTACAGGAAGTCGGTACAGCGTGGATTGTGGCTGCATTTCCAACATGGAAAACACAACTGAAGGAAAATGGGATAGTTTACCCGTTAAACTTAACGACGGTATTATGCAAACGCTCGATGAGCTTGGATTTACACATATGACACCAGTTCAGGTATTAACATTTCTTTACAGTTTTCGTTTATTTCACTCACATGCCATAGCCAGCTATGCTATGCTAACTTGCTAGTTAACTAGCTCCTCTAATTCAATCTCCACAGTAATAATTTCAATATTTTTATATTCCAGTCTGCCTGTATTCCACTGTTTATGCGAAATAAAGATGTGGCTGCCGAGGCTGTAAGTATGACTTGACACACATTATTGTTTACCATGTAACTCGGATGTTTTGGTACTGCATTTCTCCAGAACCAGATTGCATAGGTAGCTAACTATTGGAGGGGGAAAGATATAAGCAACACAAATCTTCTCGTTGCTGTTGCAGGTGACTGGCAGTGGAAAGACACTGGCCTTCGTGATTCCCATCATAGAGATACTTATAAAGCGAGAGGACAAACTGAAGAAAATGCAGGTAAGGTTTGGGTTATTTCGTTTCTTAGACTTGTTATTGCAATGGTTACCGTTTGAGTATATGTGTATGGTTGTGAGTCACTTTGACTTTTGATATACAGTATTAAACTGTGAGACGTTATGTTTCACAGGTTGGTGCGCTGATTGTCACGCCAACAAGAGAGCTGGCCCTGCAGATCAGTGAGGTGATGGGCCAGTTCCTCCAGAAGTTCCCTCAGTTCAGGTAGGAGGACAGCCAGCGGAGAGATAAAACCGGAGACATGAATACAGTTCAGCAAGCTCTGTTCCAGATCTAAAATTGTAATTGTTCCAAGACTCATATTGTAATCCTGTTATGACCTGAACTCTTCCTCTTTCAGACAGATTCTGTTGATCGGAGGGAGCAACCCCATTGAGGATGTGGAGAAGTTCAAGGAACAGGGGTAAATATGCTCTTCCTCTGATCTCACACAAAGATGGGAGCTTTTTTGTGCCACTTGTTTTTATCTCCAGATCTGATGCCATACAGCAAGCCTGTAAAGATACAAAAGTATTTCCAGTCCCACGTTAAATCAAGTACAACTTATAAAGGCTTTATATAGCATACATAAATGCTTCACAAATAATCTAAGCGTATGTCAGAGTATGTATAAACATGAAGCGTTATGTCACATTTGGCGGCAATTCACCCTACATTAGGAATGGTTATGTCACCCTTTATACACCATTTACAGAGTATGACACACACTTATAGATCATTTGTGAAGCATTTATGTAGTGCTTATGAGTCCTTTATATATGCAATATAAAGCCTTTATAAGTTGTACTTTGTTTAAAGTGGGACTGGATTCCCTAACTGACAATTAAGTATTCTAAATCAATGAGGTGTCTCTTCCAGGGCCAACATATTGATCGCCACCCCGGGCCGTCTGGAGGACATGTTCAGGAGGAAGGCAGACGGTCTGGACCTGGCCTTGTCAGTCAAGTTTCTGGAGGTCCTGGTCCTGGATGAGGCTGACCGCCTGCTGGATATGGGCTTTGAGGCCAGGTACTATAGTGCAATACAATAGACTACAACTATGCAATACAGTACAGTATTGGACATTAAGGACATGTCCAATACAATATGATTTACTACAGTACATTACAATCACCAGGCTGTTGGACATTGGCTTTAAGGTCAGGTACAACAGCACAGTACACTTTAAGTACTTCACTCTCTCCCTCCCTTTATCTCGCTCTCCAGTCTGAATGTTATCCTGGGGTACCTCCCTAAGCAGCGTCGTACAGGTCTGTTTTCAGCCACTCAGACTCAGGAGCTGGAGAAGCTGGTGAGAGCTGGTCTCAGGAACCCTGTACGCATCACAGTGAAGGAGAAGGGCGTGGCCGCCAGCTGCACCCAGAAAACACCAGCCAGGCTCTGTAACTACTACACAGTGAGTAACATACACTGTTGGGGATTTTAGGTTGTTCAAGTTTGGAAATGCTGGATTCAAAGGATAAAGCGGACCACAACTTTATTTTTTGAAATGTAACTACATGTAATCTAAAATGTAATCTACGTAATTCCCAAAAGTAATTATTTATCATGAGAGGACCATAAACAATAACTAGTAATGCTGCATACTCCAAGAAAGGTTAAAATCCACATAAACAGTTTGTGCACAAAACAGGAAGACCGAAACATTCTCTCAAGGAGTCTGAGACACATTCTCAGAGGCCTCATTATGAGAGCATCCTTATCTCTGTTTCGCTCTATGTCCCAGCCTGTGCCATAAAATTACTCATGGGCTATAAACCATCTGTCTAAGTGGAGACACAAACACAGGAAAAAAGACTAACCATGATTGATTCTATCTGTTATTTCTTGTTTGTCAGATCTGCAGAGCGGAGGACAAGTTTAACAGTCTGGTAGCGTTTCTTAGACAACACAAACATGAGAAACAGCTGGTGTTCTTCAGGTATGTATCCTGCCTACACAGCTCTCCATGTTAAAGTGTCTCACCATGACTACAGCTACCTCTAGTATTCTACTTAATGGCCGACTATATTCATCAACATTGCAGACTGTGTGTTTTCTCTCTCCCTCAGTACGTGTGCGTGTGTGGAGTACTTTGGCCGAGCCTTGGAGGCCCTGATTAAGAACGTCACCATCCACTGCATCCACGGCAAGATGAAACACAAACGCAACAAGATCTTCTCAGAGTTTAGGAGCCTAAAGGGGTGAGTCTTTTATCCCTTGCTGTTAGCTCAGCTGAGGAGAGCATGGGTTTGATCTTTGCATTGTAACGTAACGTTGTGTTTCAGTGGTATCCTGGTGTGTACTGACGTCATGGCCAGAGGCATTGATATCCCAGAAGTCCACTGGGTATTGCAGTACGACCCCCCTAGTTGTGCCAGTGCCTTTGTGCACCGGTGTGGACGGACAGCACGCATCGGTAACCAAGGCAACGCCATGGTCTTCCTGCTCCCCATGGAGGAATCTTACGTCACCTTCCTGTCCATCAACCAGAAGGTATGCCCTTTGTGTTTCCCTCTCCATCCCTCTCCATCTCGCTTGCCTTCCACGCTCTCTCCACCCCTCTCTCTCTCTATTTAAAACCAACCTGCCCCTCCCTTTCTCCTGACAGTGTCCTCTGGAGCAGATGGTCCCAGTGAGTGACGTGGTGGATGTTCTGCCCAAGGTGAAGGCCCTGGCTCTGGCAGACCGGGCCATGTTCGACAGGGGCATGAGGGCATTCGTCTCCACCGTACAGGCCTACGCCAAACACGAGTGCAGCCTCATCTTCAGGGTCAAAGGTCAGAACAAATCCCTTTTACCTTCCCTGTGTACAGACCCTCAAATATGAAAATGATCGATTGTGTTGTTAGATTGTTTATGCTATGGTCTGAGGAGAATTATGTTTATGATGTCATCCTCCTCCTGTCATTGGTCAGATCTGGACTTTGTTGCGCTGGCCCGTGGCTTCGCCCTCCTCCGCATGCCCAGGATGCCCGAGCTGAAAGGGAAGAACTTCCCAGACTTCATAGAAACGACCATAGACACAGACAACATCCGCTACAAGGACAAGCAGCGGGAGAAGCTGAGGCAGAAGCTGCTGATTGAGTTGAAGGTGAAGAGAGAGGAGAGGGCCGCTGCCCCCAAGAGACACAACGATAAGAACAAAGCCTGGTCCAAACAGAAGAACAGGAAGGACCGCAGGAGGAAGACTGCTGCCAAGAGGAACCGGGATGAGGTATTTAGTCTTTTAGAGCGTTAAGGGACGGTTTTCCAGACTCAGATTAAGCCTAGTCCTGAACTAAAATGCACTTTCAATGGAGATTTCCCATTGATATACATTTTTAGTCCAGGAAATGGGCCCTAAAATGCTTTCAGAACATCTTTAAACATGGGAGCAGGGCCCATATGCAGAAAGAAAGTAGGACATCAGATGACTGTTAATTAATTAACCCTTTGTGTGTGCGTGTTCTCTTCAGGGCTCGGATATGGACGATGAGGACATGAAGGAGCTGTTGAAAGACACTCGTCTCCTGAAGAGATTGAAGAAGGGACAGATCAGCGAGGAGGACTTTGAGAAACAGTTGACAGCAGGACCGAAGAGCCAGAGGAAGACAGCAACAGGCCCCTCAGAGGACCCACCCAGCTCAGCGGGAGAGGAGGACGTATGAAACACAACACACCGGTCAGTGTTTTCCCCAATGTTCTATCAGCAGGTCAGGCTGTCCAACTAGCCCTGTTGACCCTGGAAAAACAGAACATTTTTTATATTTTAGGGGGGCCCTTTATGCCCCGCCTAGAGAACAACCATAGGGGAAACACTGCCTGTTACACTAAGAAGCAGGCCAGGACCACCCATTGAATGTTGAATACACTTAAAATAGAGCCAACTGTTTTGCATCTATTACTCTGTTATGAACCAGAGAGATTCACCGCCTTTCAGGAAAGTTTTATGTATACAGTGTAAAGTTATGTGCAACATCATTTTCTAATTAACAATCTATAAAGATACAAACTGATTCACCAGTCAGTGTCCCTTTGAGTGTTTTTATTGCAGTGTTTTGTTAAGGCACAGTTATAAATAAAGTTTGATGAGTTCATCGCTGACGGCAGAGGGGGTGAGGACCCCCAGGTCTGTGAAGAGGAGCGTGATGAGGGAGGGAGGGGTGTAGTCGATCATGGGGTGTTCCTCTGACAGGTCCGACACAGTCCTCAGGGTGTCTGCTTTGTACTGCACAGAGAGGAGAGAGAGATGGGTTAGACAGTACTGAAGAGTACCAGAGAGAAAATAGAATGACAGTTCAGATAGAAGCGCCATGAGATGGAGCCAAATCCAAAATTGAGAAATTGCCATTATCAATCATCATAAGTCACACACGAATGTCAATGGGAGATTTGCACATAATTTTGAATTGCATGTGCATATCTCCAATCAGCCCATGGCACAACATACAGTGAGTACCTTCAGAATGTATTCATACCCCTTGACTTACTCCACATTCAATGTATTTTTTTTTACCCATCTACCAATAGGTGCCCTTCTTTGCGAGGCATTGGAAAATCTCCCTGGTCTTTGTGGTTGAATCTGTGTCTGAAATTCACTGCTCGACTGAGGGACCTTACAGATAATTGTATGTGTGGGGTACAGAGATGAGGTAGTCGTTCAAAATGTATTTTATGTTGCAGTGAGTCCATGCAACTTACTATGAACTTATTTAGGCTTGTCGATGTGCCCTTGAGCAAGGCACTTAACCCTAATTGCTCATGTAAGTCGCTCTGGATAAGAGCGTCTGCTAAATGACTAAAATGTAAAATAACAATTGGGTTGAATACTCTTTGATTCAAGACATTCCAGCTTTTAATTTTGAATACATTTGTAAAAAATGCGAAAAACATAATTCCATTTTGACATTATGCAGTATTGTCTGTAGGCCAGTGACAAAAAAACTAAACAATTTAATTAATCCAATTTAAATTCAGGCTGTAACAACAAAATGTGGAAAAAGTCAAGGGGTGTGAATACTTTCTGAAGGCACTGTATATATTGCTTGCAGGCTCTGAATGGTAAATTCTCACCTTAACTCTGTCTGGGACATCCTGCTGGTTAAGAGGGTAGAGACGGACGAACTTGAAGCTCTCCGCTACCACGTAGAAGGGCTTGTTGTGGGCTTTGGAACACACTGCCATCTGATAGGTTCCAATCTGTACAGACAGATCAACCAACACTGTCATTTGCACACTGCTACATACTACAATACAGGGTTGACTTTATTATTATGAGTTTATTGTTCCCAGAACACACCTTGTTGATGATGCCTCCACTCTCAACAACTCCTTCTGCTCCTACAATAACCAGGTCCACCTTCTCCAGGACACAACTGTAGGTGGAAAGATATAGAAAGGAAGATGCATCTTTAACCTTTTAAGACAGATAAGCAGTGGTAGTGTTTGGTATAGTCAGTATTTACCCCACAGCAGCATCCAGGACCACGGTCACAGGAATGTTGAGTCTCCTCAGAGCATCAGCCATCTGTTTCCTGTTGAGGACACAGACAAACAACACGTCACACAAACTGTGTGTGTGTATCTTACGTGTTCGATTCCCCCATCCTTGTTTGCTTTGGAAATGTGTGTGTGTGTTGTCTCACCCGGCTGTGTCTGGCTGGGACTCTGTGACGTAGACTGTGAAGCGTTTCTTCTCGGCTGCAGCTTTCTCCAGCACCCTCAGCACTACTCTGGAGGAGGAATGGGTCAGGATTTTCTGTGAGAGAAAGAAAGAGATTTGTTCTTCAAAAATACATCTTTCTTATAATATTCTTGGAATTGTATATTTTTGGTACCAACATGGCATCTATCAAAATCAAGTTTGCCAAACTTAGGCTCTGGAGATGGCTCATTAATTTGACCGAAAATGTCTGCCGCCGTGACTCACTCACCGCCCCGTCTTTGATGAAGGTGTGGCAGAGTTTGGCCACCTTGGTTCTGGAGAGAGAGATCTTCTCCAGGAACAGCTCTCCTCTCTCCTCCATCACCTTCTTACAGCACGCCAGGTCCTGAGACAAACAACATGAAGGGGAGGGAGGGTTTCAGGGGGGGTGAGGCCTTCAGAGAACTCTGACCTCTGCCGAGGTGAGGGTGTGTAGCGGCATGTGTAGTCATTTTTTCAATTTGTGGTATAATTCCAATAGAATGACAAAATTAGAGGGGATAGAATGGAGAGTATTTATACTTGGTTTTTATTTCATGACAGAAATACCTGAGTGTGTATTTCTGTTAATTTTTATTTATTTATTTAACCTTTATTTAACCAGGTAAGCCAGTTGAGAACAAGTTCTCATTTACAATTGCGACCTGGCCAAGATAAAGCAAAGCAGTGCAATAAAAACAACAGAGTTACATATGGGGTAAACAAAACAAAGTCAAAAATACAACAGAAAATATATATACAGTGTGTGCAAATGTAGCAAGATATGGAGGTAAGGCAATAAATAGGCCATAGTGCAAAATAATTACAATTTAGTATTAACACTGGAATGATAGATGTGCAAGAGATGATGTGCAAATAGAGATACTGGGGTACAAATGGGCAAAATAAATAATAATATGGGGATGAGGTAGTTGGGTGGGCTAATTTCAGATGGGCTGTGTACAGGTGCAGTGATCGGTAAGGTGCTCTAACAACTGATGCTTAAAGTTAGTGAGGGAGATAAGAGTCTCCAGCTTCAGAGATTTTTGCAGTTCGTCCAGTCATTGGCAGCAGAGAACTGGAAGGAATGGCGGCCTGGAGCGCATACTACAGGTGGGTGTTGCAATGGTGACCAATGAGCTAAGATAAGGCAGGGATTTGCCTAGCAGTGATTTATAGATGACCTGGAGCCAGTGGGTTTGGCGACGAATATGTAGTGAGGACCAGCCAACAAGAGCGTACAGGTCACAGTGGTGGGTAGTATATGGGGCTTTGGTGACAAAACGGATGGCACTGTGATAGACCACATCCAATTTGCTGAGTAGAGTGTTGGAGGCTATTTTGTAAATGACATCGCCGAAGTCAAGGATCGGTAGGATAGTCAGTTTTACGAGGGCATGTTTGGGAGCATGAGTGAAGGAGGCTTTGTTGCAAAATAGGAAGCCGATTCTAGATTTAACTTTGGATTGGAGATGCTTAATGTGAGTCTGGAAGGATAGTTTACAGTCTAACCAGACACCTAGGTATTTGTAGTTGTCCACATACTCTAGGTCAGACCCGCCGAGAGTAGTGATTCTAGTCGGGTGGGTGGGTGCCAGCTGCGTTCGATTGAAGAGCATGCATTTAGTTTTACTAGTGTTTAAGAGCAGTTGGAGGCTACGGAAGGAGTGTTGTATGGCATTGAAGCTTGTTTGGAGGTTTGTTAACACAGTGTCCAATGAAGGGCCAGATGTATACAAAATGGTGTCGTCTGCGTAGAGGTGGATCTGAGAGTCACCAGCAGCAAGAGCGACATCATTGATATACACAGAAAAGAGTAGGCCCGAGAATTGAACCCTGTGGCACCCCCATAGAGACTGCCATAGCTCCAGACAACAGGCCCTCTGATTTGACACATTGAACTCTATCTGAGAAGTAGTTGGTGAACCAGGCGAAGCAGTCATTTGAGAAACGAAGGCTATTTAGTCTGTCAATAAGAATGCGGTGGTTGAGAGTCGAAAGCCTTGGCCAGGTCGATGAAGACTGCTGCACAGTACTGTCTTATCGATCGCGGTTATAATATCGTTTAGGACCTTGAGCGTGGCTGAGGTGCACCCATGACCAGCTCGGAAACCAGATTGCATAGCGGAGAAGGTACGTTGGGATTCTAAATGGTCAGTGAACTGTTTGACCGCGGCAGCTTCCCAATCTCTGGGGATCTCAGACGTTACGAAAGAGAGGTTGAACAGGCTAGTAATAGGGGTTGCGACAATTTTGGCGGCTAATTTTAGAAAGAAAGGGTCCAGAATGTCTAGCCCAGATGATTTGTAGGGGTCCAGATTTTGCAGCTCTTTCAGAACATCAGTGTATATGGCCCTAACCTGGTGCTCCAGTGATGTGAGGCTGATGAAGCGAAGGAACAGCTCCCCTCCAGAGGACACGGCTACAGAGGAGTCCACACCTGTCAGACAGTCTGTGGCCCACTTCAGGCTCTCCCTCAGACCCAGGATCGTCTCACCTGAACGGGGGAGCAGGGAACAGAGTAACATGGAGGGGCTGATTGTATCCAGAGATCGAATTATGGAGATCATGGGCCCTTCAATAATTTAGGGAACTGTCATAAAAGTATGAAATACCAAACTTCTATGACAAAAATACACTATTTTGCTTGGTATGATTTTGACATAGGTATGACTAATAGGCAGAAAGGAGAGAGTGGTCAGACCTTTGTCTCGTCTGAGGAACTCCAGCAGGGTGCGGATGGCTGCTACAGCAGAAGCCATGTCAGGGTCTGTCCTCATCTGGGTCCTGAAGTACTCTACCAACTCTGACAGGAGAGAGGGAGAGCAGTCCTGGGTCACACTAATGACTAGCCAACTCAGTAGTACTCTACTCATGAAGACAATAGCCATGTTTGTCTGTTCAGTTGGTTCATTTATATTTTCTACACAGTAACTCAATCTCTCTCTCTCTCTCTCTCTCTCTCTCTCTCTCACACACACACACGTTCAAATCGACCCCTTAGCATTCAATATGAGAGATGCAAAACATTTTACAAATAAAATGTGATTGATTGCCTGATCAATCCCCCCCTCTCGCTCTCTCTCTCTCTCTCTCTCTCACACACGTTCAAATCGACCCCTTAGCATTCAATATGAGAGATGCAAAAGCAGTATGTTATACACGTACCTACTACCTACCTTCTTTGTTCATTTTCGAGGACTGTTGCATCTGAATTCTAACTACCGGTAGCTAGCTAGCTATATTATCGACGTTTAGTCAAAGATTAGTCAGTGACAGCAGTGGGCACTGGGCAGCAAATGGAAGTATCTACGAGGTTGAAAGTTGGTTTCTTATTTCTTCGCAGGATGCCAAAAGTGCAGTCACACGTTAAAAACACATGTATCAGTTAAACCAGAGAATAAACCATGCGAAATCTTTTTTTCTAGACGTATTTCTGACCATTTCAGTCATCTGTCATCATCATGTCGCAATCTGATGACGTAAACTATTTGAAGGCTTGTTCTGCTTCTTCGATGAGGTTTAACGGCAGATGGTATCCAATAAATGTTGCATTACCGCCACCTACTACACTGAAGTATAACTCCCTTATACTTTGCTTGAAAAATAAATAAAAAACTAATACCCTACAATCTAACCCTACACTCACTAAAATCCCACCACCCTACTCCACTATTTAAATATATTTAATCCTACCTCAGGCCAACAGCCTGAAAGGATGGGAGTGGGACACACCACTTAACACACACTGTAACTCTTCTGACGTCAAGTCTCGCACACCCAAATACCTCTCTGCAGCAGCCACCACAACCTACATTTTGTGTGACTTACGTTCCATCCCTGCAGTACAGTTGATAACCATTGCTATAAATATAAAATCCAATCTTGCTGAAACAGATATCACTTGTTGGCCTATCCCTCTGTACTGGTACAGTTCTACTACTCACACCACTCCTCTCAGGATCCCTCACCCTTGACCCATCTTCCTCTACTTTCTTCACTGCCTCACCATACGACAACTTCTGCACTACTCTAACCCTGGAAACCTCAACCTGCCTCTCTCGCACCTGACATGTCTGATCCCCAGCCCCATGGGCACCCCTACAATTAACACATACCACTACTTTCCCCAATGCTACACATTCCTTTGCCTCTTGCCCTTCTGCACAATTCTCACACCTAGGAACCTCCCTCCTACACACTGCTGTCACATGCCCATAAGCTTGACACCTGTAACAATGTAATGTATTCGGCACAAAAGGTCTTACGGGATAACTTATATATCCTAACATCACTTTGTGCTCTCATTCACTTCCATTTCTCCTCATCTTTGATCCGGTGTACAGCTCACTCTGCTTACACTTTCTATCATTCTTCTTTAACAAATCATCTCCCTTTTTTCTGCCATTTTTAACCGACTCAAGTTCACCCTCTTCCTCCCTCTCTCTCTTAGACCTCCTCTGCCTCTCTTTTCCCCTCCATTCCTCCTCTGTATTCCAAGTACACGTCTCCTTATGATAATACTGCACTTCTCCTGACATACATCTTGTTCTTGCCCTTTCAAGGGACGCCATTTAACCGGCTGTCACAATCTCCGTACAATCAGCACAAACCCCTCAGGATGTAGTGCTCAACAGTGCACCCCACTTGTAAAGCAGCTGCTTCGTCTTGATGTTCTTCTTTGTCAGTAGCTACCGAGAAGCTTTTCCATTTCAAACATGTGCACTCTTCCAACCACAACCCACAGACACTTCCTCCCCCGACAGCCTCTCACGGATCTCTTGCCCACTCACTATTTGAAGGCGGTCAGTCATTGAGCTATAATAATGCCGCGTTCAAAACAACTGGGAACTGGGAAGTCGGAGATTACAGTTCCGAGTTCCCAGTTGTTTGGAATGGGGCACAAGAACCAGAGGTAGATGCTGATTGCAGGTACGTACATTGTACGCATGTAACGCACATTTATTAAACAACTATATAAAGACAGTGACAAAACAGTAATAGTTTTAAGCATTAGAAAGCTCAGTCTGCCGAACAGCAATAGCCTGTCATTTTCATCCATCACTTCACGTTTGTTATTAGGTTATCCTCCAAAAGGACTCCTTTTTGTCAACCATCACAAAACGTGTCAGGCCAAGTAATCAGTCATTGCTAATAGTCTTGCAAATTAAATCAGTTTGTCAATAGTTTCAAATACATAATTCTTTTGAGAATGCAAAAATGTATTACAATTGGATTTAGTAAGTATAAAATCATCCATAATCTAATACTAAAGCAATCAAGAACATAGTATGATCAACACTGCCAATGAGACCATGATTTGATTGTGAAACCACTGATGAGAATAAAATGTTACCATGGTATCATTACGCTACACTAAAATGGAAAGTAGGCTATATAATTCAATACTAAGTCACTAAAAACATGAAATATTTTGACATGAGTAAATATTAAGACATTGAGAAATGAAATTCTGAATCGAGTAGCCTATAGTAGGCTATACAATACTGAAGTAAACAAAATGAAAAGTCAATTACAGCCTACAGTAAAGAACCTACTGTTCTTTACATCTCCCGAGTGGTGCAGTGGTCTAAGGCACTGTATTGCAGTGCTAGCTGTGCCACTAGAGATCCTGGTTCAAATCCAGGCTCTGTCGTAGCCGGCCGCGACCGGGAGACCCATGGGGCGGCGCACAATTGGCCCAGCGTCGTCCAGGATAGGGGAGGGAATGGATGTAGCTCAGTTGGTTGAGCATGGTGTTTGCAACGGCAGGGTTGTGGGTTCAATTCCCAAGGGGGGCCAGTAAAAATAATAATATATATATATAAAATAGAATAATGTATGCACTCACTAACTGTAAGTCGCTCTGGATAAGAGCGTCTGCTAAATGACTCAAATGAAAATGTTATTTTGCAAGCTTATATCTCATGCAACTTGAACATAAGTTACTGCATCTATTTTGAAAAGGCATAGGCTACCATATGAAAGGTATTGCAATCAATTGCAAGCAAATACGGCCTACTAACAAAGTAAATGATTATGCAGCAGAAATAGACATTTTGAATTATTATCTCATAAAATTCAACAAGAAATGATCACATTAAGATTGTAATGCAGAATAGGAAAGTATGATTTTAGCCCTTTAACCAATATACTCTTGGATACTCTTACAAGAATACAAACTCAACATTAACCTAGGGTATGGGTTGCTATTTGATGTCTGTAAGGATGTCGATGTACTCTGGCGTATTCTGGTCCAGGTACTTGTCATCGACCACCCAGGACTTCAGCCTCTCCAGCTGATTCTGGTCGATGATCCCCTTTTCATTGTGGTGATTCAGCATCTGATTGAAGCCAGCTTTGTAGTAGGACACTGTTCCTTCAGCAGACATGCCAATATATCCCTGGGCTTTCCTACAATAAGAACATACAGTACATCTTCAGATTAGGGATTACAACATTCTGTGACAATGAGAAAACTGTCAAACAAAGTAAGATCATTCTAAGATAATATAAGCAAGCAAACTCAAATGATTAAAGACACATTCTTGAAAAATGTTTTGACTGATATATACCTGTTTTATACACCACTAAAGGTATTTTCTACATAACAGACAGAACAATCACCTGCGTCGTTTTGGAACTTCAGAGATTTCTCCACATCTCCGCTTACAAGTGTATCCACCAGCAGCTTGCTATGAGATGGAAGGGCAAGCACAGTGTTGTTAGAGATTGAGAACATTCAGAGCAGGGAAGCAGCATAGAGAGTATTACATTCCTAGTATAGCACAAGAATGGAACCTTTCATATTGTAGCAAAATGAAAGGTCTTCTTTACAAGTCAAAACTCTAAGAAGAATAGGTCCAGGTAGGAACCCTGCTTGAATTAAATCAAAGTAGGTTTGTTTCTTTGTGTATTTATTTCAGCTCGGTTGTATATTACAGGGGAAGGTGAAGCTATGGATTGCACCTATACTAATAGAGAATTCCCCTGCAGTTTTCACTCCTTACTGGTCCCAGTGGTCAGTGCAGCCCTGTGATGCTGCTTGAGAGCCCGCACGGTGAGCAGGTTCTCTCCATTTTGGTCTGATCCAATGCTGTTTATCATATCATAAAGCTTTGGATTCTTCTGTTGGAGATTTTTAATCTGAGTATGGTTTCTGACCAGCTGCAGGGAACCCTTTGGTGGGATATGGTCTGCCTCCACAAGGCCTTTGTTGTCATGAGAGAACAGTCTGGTGTTTTTTACTCTTATGAGGGGATAGAAGAGGAAAGGTTTAGTATGGAAGTATAATTCAAGTATAAGCACATCTACACCATTGGTATGTCAATGCTTTATGTATCAATATTTGTAAAATAAATAAATATGAAAGTATAAAAAACCATGAATGCAGGTTGACTAATTCAATTTGAATGATGCCTGTATTTTCACGAAGAATATTATACAAAATTACCTTTTGTAAGGACCAACTAATCCAAGGTGGTACTTATAGTCTATGTCATACTCAGTTAGCCATGAGGATGAGGAACCATAACGATTACTCTTCATGGGACTGATATCATCCTCATATTCCCCCTCATCACTCCTCTGTGCTATCGGCCTGAACCCTCCAACTAAAGCATATTTTCCATGATTTCTCTCAAGTGCATCATAGGCCCTCTGGGTTTGAATCATTTCACTATGAGCATGAAGGTTCCCTTTAATCTGTGGGAAGACATAACAGGTATCAATAACTCCAAAGGTGCAATCTGTCATCTTTAATTATTTATTTTAGGGACAGTTAGTTCCTTCAATGGATTTGATTATAATTACATATTTAAGACATAAAAAGTTTGTTTAAAAAATAATTAAACTACAAGAAGACGTGTACAGTACCTGGTCTTTAACATTGTTTCGTAGATTCACAGCTTCACGCTTGATCTCATCCTCTGTCCTGTTAGATGTCGTTGCCTGTGCCACAGCAGTGTAGAAGCAGTTCTGGTTCTCTGAGCACACAGGGATTACTTTGCCATCTTGGATGATGTCAAAATGACCACTGTATGGACTTTGCACTCCTTAGATGCTGTCTTTTACTTTAGAGATGATTCCCTTCTCACTGAAAGAGCAGAAATAAAGAACACCATTGGTTCTCATTAATGTAGTCACAATCGGAGAGATCCGAATTTTGGGAAATTGGCATTACTGTTGATGAAGGTCTACCAAACAGAGTTTAGGACACATACCTGTCTGTTTTCTCAGGCTCTTTGGTCAGCCGTAGAGTGATTTGGTCAGCTGAGCTGTTCATTCCTGGGTAGGACTCCTCTGAGAGTGTTTTCCCATGTTGATCCACAACCAGGGACGGCCTGTTCAATAGGGCGATATGGGCGACGCACTGCCAAACGGGAAAAGGAAGGGATTTTTTTTCTAATCAATTATATCACGGCAACAGTAGTTATCAGTGTTCACGTCTGATCTGCCAGCCACTAAATGTCAAATCAGGCTAAAGTCGTGCTTCAAATGGCCCCGCCCGTTTTTGGGGCGATTTCAGTCAAGTTGAAAATAGCCCAGAAGTCTCTCATAGCCTGTCATGTAAAATCTATTTTTTTCAAATTTCAAAGCTTTCAATACATTCTCTATGGGTGTCTGTGGGCTTGCACTTACGCGCTTTCGTCATACGTGACGTAACCATGAACGTAACTGAGAAAAGAGTGGATTGTTTGAAAGAAGTTCCTTTTTGTCGGCGAACAAATGAAGATAAATTGGCAACGAAACAATTAGGACCTCCCAGACCAAATTAAATAATTCAACAGGTTTCTACTAAAGGCGGAAAGTCCTACACCCGAGGATTTTCCAAAAATTGGTACGAACGAAAAAAGACATTGCCACTCACTCAACTGGATGACGAGGGATACAGGCTAGCTGTCCGCCGCCACAACGATGAGGTTAGTGTTGATAATCACAAGTTTACTGGAGAACCAACTGAGACCAAGTAGAGACTTTGGACAGGGTGGATATGGTGTAATAAAGGCAGTTTATTCAGAGGTAAATATATCTGGAATCGCGTTCACGGACCCGTTCGTCAAACTCTTAGGGAGCTATAAATTAAGCCCCATTACTTACCATATCAGATAAGAGAAATTGCTGCAGCTACATATATTTTACATCCTGGCCCTACATAGTTCACTATTTGCATCACTTACCAAAATATTACATGTGGTCACAGGGACGGCCTGTTCAATAGGGCGATATGGGCGACGCACTGCCAAACGGGAAAAGGAAGGGATTTTTTTTCTAATCAATTATATCACGGCAACAGTAGTTATCAGTGTTCACGTCTGATCTGCCAGCCACTAAATGTCAAATCAGGCTAAAGTCGTGCTTCAAATGGCCCCGCCCGTTTTTGGGGCGATTTCAGTCATGTTGAAAATCGCCCAGAAGTCTCTCATAGCCTGTCATGTAAAATCTATTTTCTTCAAATTTCAAAGCTTTCAATACATTCTCTATGGGTGTCTGTGGGCTTGCACTTACGCGCTTTCGTCATACGTGACGTAACCATGAACGTAACTGAGAAAAGAGTGGATTGTTTGAAAGAAGTTCCTTTTTGTCGGCGAACAAATGAAGATAAATTGGCAACGAAACAATTAGGACCTCCCAGACCAAATTTAATAATTCAACAGGTTTCTACTAAAGGCGGAAAGTCCTACACCCGAGGATTTTCCAAAAATTGGTACGAACGAAAAAAGACATTGCCACTCACTCAACTGGATGACGAGGGATACAGGCTAGCTGTCCGCCGCCACAACGATGAGGTTAGTGTTGATAATCACAAGTTTACTGGAGAACCAACTGAGACCAAGTAGAGACTTTGGACAGGGTGGATATGGTGTAATAAAGGCAGTTTATTCAGAGGTAAATATATCTTGAATCGCGTTCACGGACCCGTTCGTCAAACTCTTAGGGAGCTATAAATTAAGCCCCATTACTTACCATATCAGATAAGAGAAATTGCTGCAGCTACATATATTTTACATCCTGGCCCTACATAGTTCACTATTTGCATCACTTACCAAAATATTACATGTGGTCATATATGCTTGGAAAGTGGAGATGCCATAGAACGTCAAAAAAGTAAACATTGCTGGAGACACATTGCCGTTTTGGAGAAGACATCGCGTTTGCTAGCGAAGAGATTTGTTGTGGCAAATGAACTTGGGCTGGGAATTGCCAGGAACCTCACGATAAGATATATGCATCAGCATTGCGAGTCTCATGATTCTATACGTATTGCGATTCGATACTGTGATTTTATTGCGCACCATATGTCTGTTGCAGAGGGATCAGAAAGCCATGAGAACGAGTTTTGATCAGTCATGGAAATAAAAGTGCTGAAAACAAATTGGCTCCCAATGTGAAAAGATTGAGAACAAGCTATGAAGGAACAATAATGGTGTTTTGGTGCAGGTACAGCCAACTAGCGCTAAAATATTGCGATATTGTCAATACAGTATATCGTAAAGTATCACTATGTAACTCGATTTCTTTCACCCCAATCCCTCAAATTAACGGTAAATAACTGAATTGTTTGCCCCACATTTAGCTAAGATGATTAGCTAGCCAGCTAAAATGTTTTATTTAGTTAGCAGTCGCATCTACAATAGTTTACTGTCAATAACATGTCTCCAAAAATGACGTGGTGTCTCCAATTGTGTTGACATTTTACAATTGCAATGCGCATCCATGAGTATCCACTTTCTGTAGCTCAGCTGGTAGAGCATGGTGCTTGTAACGCCAAGGTAGTGGGTTCGATCCCCGGGACCACCCATACACAAAAATGTATGCACGCATGACTGTAAGTCGCTTTGGATAAAAGCGTCTGCTAAATGGCATATTATTATTATTATTATTATTATTATCTGAAGAGAGCCCCGAAACATTGTGTGCAGACATTTTATGCAATAAATGAAGTAGGTTCAATCTAGTAGTTCTGATCTTCTGATTGGTCCTGATGAGTTGGGCGAGGTCACCTCCAGGCTACTGTCACTGTTGCATTGGCTCTGAGTCGGGTTCTCTGTCTTCAAATGTTCAGCCTAAGAGAGGGGATTTGTGTGTGTGTGTGTGTGTGTTTAACAGTGATGATGTGTGTGTGTGTGTGTGTTTAACAGTGATGATGTGTGTGTGTGTGTGTGTTTGTGTGTGTGTGTGTCCTCAGAGCAAGAACTCGTGAGTTGGAAGAACTGAGAGGCCTATGGCGTGGGTGTTGTCCTTGGCCACCTGCTGACAAGGCTGACAAGATAGGACCCTTTTGTCCATTGTTATTGGATAGGAACAGAACTTATAACCAGCTCCTGACCTAAATAGATCTTAGCACAACATTTTACTCAACATATCATATTCCATATTCACTATAACAAATATATTTACTACGACATTAGCAAGAACCGCCACATCCTCAGCCGGCTAATCCAGTGTGTGAAGTTTTGCGGAGTGTTTGAGTTAGCTTTGCGAGGCAAAGATGAAACTGAGGGCTCCACCAACCCTGGTAAGCCAACACTTTTGAGATCAGTCAATAAATGCTTCTGGTATTGACTTATATGCTGCCCCTGTCTTCATGTTGTTGCTGGACATATCTTTTTTTAAATGTGTGTAGGTCACCTAAATCATCAGAAAAATTGCCCCTCCTGAGAGTTTTTTCAGGAGCAGCCACTGTCCACAACCATGAACCGGATGCCTTGACCCTGGAGCAAGTCACTGTTTGTGAGGATATAAATGTCCAGGGCCGAGGCTGGTCGATTCACATCATTAATCTTCTCCGCATAGTCCAGGAGTTATTTTGTTTCATTCTCTGACAGAACTTTCCCAGTCTTCTGACTGGCTGATTTCATATCGTATTTATGCTGCCGGTCCTGGAAAAAGGCCTCAGTTTTGTGCCTGCCAAGTATACTGCCGACAACTTTTCCGGTGATTCCATTTACCTTTTTCTTGAATAGTCCCTTCACAAAGAAGGACATATGACCAGCACACACATCTATGAATGCTTGGGAGACACTGTCCGAGATGGAGCTTAGGTACTCATCATTCAGGCGAATCACGTCTGGTAAGTTATGTCGGCCATCTTGGTCGTACTTCCCCAGAACATGTTGCTGCTCTTCAATTTCATTTATTAATTGAAGGACAAATATGTCATTGATAACATGCTCTGTAGGAATGGACTGAACCAATTGGACCAAGTTTGTGGTGTGTTCTGCTATTTTAAAACTTATTTTGATTACCTTTGCAATTTCCTGTGTCCCACTTTTTGCCACAAGCTCTGTTGCTTTATTGGACACCTCAGAGAGTCTGCCGATAAGATCACTGACTTGGGATGTGGTTGAATCAGTCACAAGGCCAGAAATTTGATATTTTGTCATATCCTGAACTAAATCTTTAATTTGTTGTTCAAGCTTTGAGTCAATCTTAAAGTTGCTGCCGTTCTGCAAAGCTCATTTTGGTACTGCAGAGCCAATGTACTCAGTTAGACTAAGACCTAGTTTGGCATTCTGTTTGACTGTTGAAGTGACCAAGTCCTTGAAAGGTTTTTCCAAAATTGACCTGACACATTCCGATAAAGAAACAGATCAGAGCATCGAAGCTGAACTCTGGCTTATTTTTCACCTCAAACACAATGCTCAGGCCATTTTCGTACAAGGCTGTGAGTTCATTTGCGGTGATGTAATCATGATTTTCTGAGAGGCTGTCAAGGTCGAGGTAAGGAGTAGACCAAGGCGCAGCGTGATGAACAAACATGACTTTAATTAGTTAAAGCGTCAAAATACAAAACAAAACCCGACTCGTGACGTCCACGGTATCAATGACCGAACACGGAACAAAAACCCACAACCACAAAGGGAAAACATACAGTTTAAATATGGCTCCCAATCAGAGACAACCAGCCAACAGCTGACACTCGTTGCCTCTGATTGGGAGTCACTCAGGCAAACATAGAAATCAACAAACTAGAATGAACACCAACATAGAAATACACACATAGAAATGAACACACCCTGGCTCAACATAATGAGTCCCAGAGCCAGGGTGTGACAGTACCCCCCCCTAAAGGCGCGGACTGCGACCGCGCCTCAACTAAACAAACCAGGGGAGGGCTGGGCGGGCATACCTCCTCGGCGGCGGTTCTGGCTCCGGCCTTGACCACCACCCTCCAATACACCCCCCATAGTGCCCCTGGTCCAGTCTGGCCCCGCCGGCTGGAGCAGGACTGGACTTAACAGGAGCGATCCTTACCAGGCTGTCGACTCGCACCCCTGGCTTGGTGCGTGGAGGAGGAACGGGCCTTACCAGGCTGACGACTCGCACCCCTGGCTTGGTGCGTGGAGGAGGGACGGGCCTTACCAGGCTGACGACGCGCACCCCTGGCTTTGTGCATGGAGGAGGAACGGGCCTTACCAGGCTGACGACTCGCACCCCTGGCTTGGTGCGTGGAAGAGGGACGGGCCTTACCAGGCTGACTTCTCGCACCCCTGGCTTAGTGCGAGTGGCAGGAACAGGCCGGACCGGGCTGGCGACGCGCACCGTAGGTTTGGTGCGAGTGGCAGGAACAGGCCGGGTCGGGCTGGCGACGCGCACCGTAGACTTGGTGCGGGTGGCAGGAACAGGCCGGACCGGGCTGGCGACGCGCACCGTAGGTTTGGTGCGAGTGGCAGGAACAGGCCGGGTCGGGCTGGCGACGCGCACCGTAGACTTGGTGCGGGTGGCAGGAACAGGCCGGGTCGGGCTGGCGACGCGCACCGTAGACTTGGTGCGGGTGGCAGGAACAGGCCGGGCTGGGCTGTCGACGCACACCGTAGGCTTGGTGCGTGGAGCAGGGACAGGCCGGGCTGGGCTGTCGACGCACACCGTAGGCTTGGTGCGTGGAGCAGGGACAGGCCGGACTGGGCTGGCGACGCACACCGTAGGCTTGGTGCGTGGAGCAGGGACAGGCCGAACCGGGCTGTGGAGACGGATAGGAGGCCTGGAGTGAAGAGCGGCCACCACCCGTCCTGGCTGAATGCCTACCCTCACACACTCTGTGTGAGGCATCCGCACAGGACGTACAGGGCGGTGTACCCCTGGCCTGGTGGCCTTCTGGATCCGCCCCCTTTTCTCCTCCGTCAGCCCGTCGTCCATGCCGTGTGCCCCCCCCTAAAACTTTTCTGGGGTTGCCTCACGACCGTCCGACGACGACCCTGATCACGCCGTAGCTCCTCTCTACGGCGCGCCTCCACCGTCTCTTCTCCCGGCGCTTCCTCCCATGTCCACCCCAAGGGCTGCCCCTGGACACGCTGCTTGGTCGTTGCATGGTGGGTTTTTCTGTCAAGGTCGAGGTAAGGAGTAGACCAAGGCGCAGCGTGATGAACAAACATGACTTTAATTAGTTAAAGCGTCAAAATACAAAACAAAACACGACTCGTGACGTCCACGGTATCAATGACCGAACACGGAACAAAAACCCACAACCACAAAGGGAAAACATACAGTTTAAATATGGCTCCCAATCAGAGACAACCAGCCAACAGCTGACACTCGTTGCCTCTGATTGGGAGTCACTCAGGTAAACATAGAAATCAACAAACTAGAATGAACACCAACATAGAAATACACACATAGAAATGAACACACCCTGGCTCAACATAATGAGTCCCAGAGCCAGGGTGTGACAGAGGCTGTGCACTGAGGATTCCTCTGTTATGGCTGTGCCTTTACCCTCAAGCTCTTCAAGTTTATTCACTGCAAGGGAAATGTTCTGTATCCAAGCTTTGTAAATGCTCATCCTGGAATCAATTTGTTTTAGAAAGTTCTGTTCTTCTTCATGATGTGGTTCAAAGTTGCCTCTCTCTCCAGTCTGAAAAGAAACCATGGTGTTTGTTGTTTCTGACAAGTAAACACCCACAGTTGTTTTTGCCCTCTCCAGCAAGCCATGTGCTTCTGTTTTGTAGCCATCTTTTGCCATGTTGATGGTGATGACGTCTTGGTAAAAAGGGTCACACTCTTCAACATCCTTCCAGTAGGATTTTGCTCCATAATCACATTTGCTTTTGTTGCGGCAGTGCAAGTCAGTTCTGCCGATAGCCTGCTTGATGTGGTTATAGAAGTTGGGACTTTTTTCATTCAACAGCATGTTATTTGTCATATGCTCAAGAAGGTCTGCTTTAAGAACACTGATATCATCGTGCCGACTGATGGGCTCCTCATGAAGGGTAAGCCACAATGCCCATGTTTCTTTCAAAGCGTTGAGTGCAGGCTGGTAATCAAACTTGGTGCCTCTATTTTTATAACACTGAGGGACATCATTCGCCGCCATTCTAGACCGGTCCTGTTTCTCCTGTTTTGTGAAGTTGCTGTCAAAGTTGTCGAGAAATTCGCAAAATGTGCCAAACAGGTACTCTTTTCTTTTGATTTCGAGAAGCTCATCTGTCTCCATGTCTTTGATGTGTTGGACTTCGTAATCCTCTCTGAGTTGTCTCATGACCTCCACAGGCTGTCCCTGGTATGCTGGGGCAAGGTTATCCCCACGGAGGATCATCTGGACCATGCCCGGATTTCCCTTCCGAACAGTTTGTCCAAACATCTGTTTCTCCACCCTGCGACATCCAGGGTAATGTGTCAGAAGGACAAAGATACCTCCAGGTAGATTGACATCCTGATCAAGCTTTATATCTGTTCCACATCCTCCTAGATTCGTGGATATGATTATTTGTCCTCCTCTGAATTTAGTACTCTCAATGTTGTGTTTCTCACGGATTGTGTATAATGTGACGTGGGGGTGTGGAGTCCCTCTCTCCATTTTGTTCTCAAGCTCGTTTGCCACCTTGACATCCTCACATACGACCAAGACAACCTGACCACTGTCTGCCACTCTCCACGCGGTCTCACACAGGATCTCCATCCGCTGGGCTTGCCCATTAACCTGAATAGCTGGAAGCTTGACAATCTTCTTGTGCCGGTGAGCTGGTATTGTGCAGCTGTCTGTTTCGTAATGCCTTGCCAGGAAGTCATTGTCTGCCTTACCTCCCAATGTTCCAGACACACCAAATATCCCATTCCCTTCACAATATTTTTTTAAGTAATGGAAGTTTGATAGATAATTTGTCACAGTGGACAAAGTGTCAAGGATGTTGTAAGTGGGTGTGGTGGTGGAATCAGGCGCAGGACGCAGAAGTATAGTTCCAAAGACTTTAGTGAAATTTCTAACCGTGCAAGCACTAAATAGCCCGAAGGCGAAACTCCGCGCGCAGGCGAAACAAAACGGGCGCACAAACAGGTGCGACAAAACTCTCCAAACTATGGAGGACAGCTCTACCGAGCAAATAGTAAATACATCCAGCAACAAAGCACGACAGTGAAAACAATCACACACAACACTAACACAAACCCAAGGAGAACTTATAGGACACTAATACACTAAACGAAAACAGGTGTGACAACAATTAGACAAAAGCAAACGAACATAGAAACATGCAACGGTGGCAGCTAGTATTCCGGAGACAACGAACGCCGAAGCCTGCCCGAGCAAGGAAGAGAGGCAGCCTCGGCCGAAACCGTGACAGTACCCCCCCCCCTTGACGCGCGGCTCCAGACGTGCGCCGACTCCGGCCTCGGGGACGACCAGGAGGACGCGGAGCAGGATGCGTCGGGTGCCCACGATGGAATTCCGTCAGGAGAGACGGGTCCAAAATGTCCCTCCTTGGCACCCAGCACCGTTCCTCCGGGCCGTACCCCTCCCACTCCACTAGATATTGGAGACCCCCCATCCGACGTCTCGAATCCAAGATGGACCGCACGGAGTACGCCGGTGCCCCCTCGATGTCCAATGGGGGCGGAGGAGTCTCCCTGATCTCACTTTCTTGGAGTGGGCCAGCTACCACCGGCCTGAGAAGAGACACATGGAACGAGGGGTTAATACTTTTATATTCAACAGGTAGTTGTAATTTGTAACACACCTCGTTCAACCTTCTCAGGACTTTAAATGGCCCTACAAACCGCCGACCCAGTTTCCGACAGGGCAGGCGGAGGGGCAGGTTTCTGGTAGAGAGCCAGACTCGATCACCAGGTGCGTACACCGGTCCCTCACTGCGGTGGAGATCGGCGCTCGCCTTATGACGCCGGAGGGCCCGCTGCAGGTGGACGTGTGCAGCGTTCCATGTCTCCTCCGAGCGCCGCACCCACTCATCCACCGCAGGAGCCTCGATCTGGCTCTGCTGCCAAGGTGCCAGAACCGGCTGGTAACCTAACACACATTGGAAAGGGGTTAGGTTAGTGGAGGAATGGCGTAGGGAATTCTGGGCCATTTCGGCCCAGGGAACGTACCTTGCCCACTCCTCTGGCCGGTCCTGGCAGTATGTTCTAAGAAACCTACCCACATCCTGGTTCACACGTTCCACCTGCCCATTACTCTCCGGGTGGTAACCCGAGGTGAGGCTCACCGAGACCCCCAATCGCTCCATAAAAGCTCTCCAGACTCTGGAGGTAAATTGGGGACCTCGATCAGACACAATATCCTCGGGTACCCCGTAGTGGTTGTTGAGCCCCCTCAAGCCAGTGCCTCCACACCTTCAGGGCCTGTACCACGGCTAACAGCTCCCTGTCCCCTACGTCATAGTTTCGCTCCGCCGGACTGAGCTTCTTGGAATAAAAAGCACAGGGGCGGAGTTTAGGTGGCGCGCCGGACCGTTGCGAAAGCACGGCTCCTATACCGGCCTCTGACGCGTCCACCTCTACCTGAAATGGCAAAGAGGGATCCGGATGCACCAGCACCGGGGCCGAGGTAAACAGGTCCTTCAGCCTCCCAAATGCCCTGTCCGCCTCGGCAGACCACTGCAGACGCACCGGACCCCCCTTCAAAAGAGACGTGATGGGAGCTGCCACCTGTCCAAAACCCCGGATAAACCTCCGGTAGTAATTCGCAAACCCCAAAAACTGCTGCACCTCCTTCACAGTGGTTGGTGTTTGCCAATTACGCACGGCTGACACCCGGTCTACCTCCATCTTCACCCCTGACGCAGACAACTGATACCCCAAAAAGGAGACCGACTCCTGGAAAAACAGACACTTCTCTGCCTTGACATACAGGTCGTGCTCCACCAGCCTCCGCAACACTCTGCGCACCAGGGCCACATGCTCGACTCGGGTAGGCGAGTACACGAGAATGTCATCTATGTACACAACCACCCCCTGCCCCTGCATGTCCCTGAAGATCTCATCCACGAATGATTGGAAAACTGACGGAGCGTTCATCAACCCGTATGGCATGACAAGATACTCGTAATGGCCCGAGGTGGTACTAAAGGCTGTCTTCCATTCATCGCCCTCCCTGATGCGCACCAAGTTGTACGCGCTCCTGAGATCTAATTTAGTGAAGAAACGCGCCCCATGCAATGACTCAGTCATGGTCGCAATCAGCGGGAGTGGATAACTGTACTTCACCGTGATCTGATTGAGACCACGGTAATCGATGCACGGGCGTAACCCACCATCCTTTTTCTTCACAAAAAAGAAACTCGAGGATGCAGGGGAAGTGGAAGGCCGTATGTATCCTTGTCTCAGAGATTCGTCTATGTAAGTCTCCATAGCTTTCTTCTCCTCCTGAGACAGAGGATACACATGGCTCCGTGGGAGCGCAGCTCCTGCCTGGAGGTCTATCGCACAATCTCCCTGCCTATGGGGCGGCAACTGCGTCGCCCTCGACTTACTAAACGCAATAGCCAAATCCCCATACTCAGGGGGAACGTGCAATGCGGGCACCTGGTTTGGACTCTCCACCGAGGTAGCCCCTACGGAAACGCCTAAACATCGACCCACACACTGGGCAGACCACTCCATCAGAGCCCTCTCCTGCCACGAAATAGATGGGTTGTGGGTACTCAACCAGGGCATGCCCAGCACCACCGGATACGCAGGCGAGTCGATCAGAAATAGCTGGATCATCTCCTGATGACCCCCCTGCGCACACATCCTAAGTGGCGCTGTAACCTCCCTGATCAAGCCCGCACCCAACGGACGGCTATCTAGGGCATGAACGGGGAAAGGAACGTCAACAGGTAGAAGGGGAATCCCTAAGGCTAAACAAAATTGCTTATCAACAAAATTCCCAGCCGCGCCTGAATCTACCAGCGCCTTATGCTGGGAATGAGGTGCTACCTGTGGAAAACGCACAGGTATACAAAAGTGTGCAACAGAGAGCTCTGGGTGAGTGGGGCGCCTACTCACCTGGAAGGACTCCCCAGTGCGGGACCTGTCGTCTTCCCCCCTAGGAGGCCATCCCCAGCACCTAGCCGCGGTGTGTCCTCCCCGACCACAGTTGGTGCAGGAGATGGACCCCCTCGTATTCCGACCCCTCCTCTCTCTAGCGCCAGCGCCACCGAGCTCCATGGGGCACGGCTCGGAAGCGCTGGAGGGTGAAATGGACGGACCCCCCTCCGGACGTCCGCGGGTAGCTAGCAGGGTATCCAGCCTGATGGACATGTCGACCAACTGGTCGAACGAGAGACTGGTGTCCCTACAGGCCAGCTCCCTACGGACGTCCTCACGTAGACTACATCGATAGTGATCGATGAGGGCCCGCTCATTCCACCCTGCATCCGCCGCTAGAGTGCGGAATTCTAAGGCGAACTCCTGGGCACTCCTCCTCCCCTGCCGGAGGCCGAACAGACGCTCCCCCGCCGCTTTCCCCTCCGGGGGATGGTCAAACACCGCCCTGAAGCGGCGGGAGAACTCGTCGTAGGTGATGGTGTTAGCGTCTATTCTCCTCCACTCTGCGTTGGCCCATTCCAACGCTTTACCGGAAAGGCAAGAGATCAGGGTGGACACGCTCTCGTGCCCCGAGGGCGTCGGGTGCACGGTGGCCAGGTAAAGCTCCACCTGGAGAAGGAATCCCTGACACCCGGCAGCGGTCCCATCGTAGGCCCTCGGGAGCGAGAGTCGAACTCCTCTGGGTTCCGGAGCGGGAAGAGGCTGACTTGCCGATGGCGCGGGCAGGGACGATGGTAGTGGAGGTGTCCCTCGGGTCTCCCAGCCTCTGATGGTGGTGATCACCTCCTGCAGTGCGGACCCCATCCGCAGGATCTGGTCATCTTGCTGGCGGACCCTGTCCTCCAGCGTCGCCTGCGCTGCTTCGGCTCCTGCTGATTCCATTTAAAGGTGTGTGATTCTGTCAAGGATGTTGTAAGTGGGTGTGGTGGTGGAATCAGGCGCAGGACGCAGAAGTATAGTTCCAAAGACTTTAGTGAAATCTCTAACCGTGCAAGCACTAAATAGCCCGAAGGCGAAACTCCGCGCGCAGGCGAAACAAAACGGGCGCACAAACAGGTGCGACAAAACTCTCCAAACTATGGAGGACAGCTCTACCGAGCAAATAGTAAATACATCCAGCAACAAAGCACGACAGTGAAAACAATCACACACAACACTAACACAAACCCAAGGAGAACTTATAGGACACTAATACACTAAACGAAAACAGGTGTGACAACAATTAGACAAAAGCAAACGAACATAGAAACATGCAACGGTGGCAGCTAGTATTCCGGAGACAACGAACGCCGAAGCCTGCCCGAGCAAGGAAGAGAGGCAGCCTCGGCCGAAACCGTGACACAAAGAAGTGATCGCCAACTGGTGTTTCATCTCCAGAAACTGCTGCAGGTCGTCCCCCCAGCGTTTGTTCTTCTCCAACACTCCACTGGCCTGAAAGTCCCCTGGAATGATGGTGTGGTAGAGATTCTTGTCTCTGGCACCTTCCATTGCCTGAACAATCATATACTCTCTGCGTTGTGTCATCATGATGGTTTTCAGGGAGTTTTCCACAAAGACTGGTAACCGATTCACAAGGTATTTCTCAAGGAAATAGGGGATCCCAATAAACTCTGAGTTTGGCTGAGAGTTGCCAGAATATTATGTTTTAGACTTCAGCTCAGAGACAGTTGCCTTAATGAGTTTGTCTTCTGATATGATCTCACTGGCTCGTCCACTCTCAAGGGGAAGCTTTCCAGGATATTAGGGTCGTTGAGCAACTTTTTCTCAACCAGTGCAGCTTTATTGTTTATCACAGAGTAACAGTCAATGGCCACAGTATTCGCATTGTTTGTAACTCATTTTGTACATAATGTTGCTGCTACCGTCTCATATGACTGAAAAGAGCTTCTGGACATCAGAACAGAGATTACTCACCTTGAACTGGAAGAAGATGTTTTCTTTAATGAGTCCGACGCAACGGATATACTGCTTTGTCGAGACGAGGCCCAAATCCCCGTCATTCGCGAGAAGAAAATATGGAGAATTCGCAGACGAGTAGCTAAACCACCACTACCCTTCGTATTATTGGCCAACGTGCAATCATTGGAAAACAAACTGGACGATCTACGATTAAGACTATCCTACCAACGGGACATAAAAAATTGTAATGTCTTATGTTTCACCGAGACGTAGCTGAACGACAACACAGATAATATAGAGCTGGCTGGCTTCTCTGTGCATTGGCAGGACAGAGCAGCTACGTCTGGTAAGACGAGGGGCGGGGGTGTGTGTCTATTTGTCAATAACTGCTGGTGCGCGATGTCTAATATTAAAGAAGTCTCGAGGTATTGTTCGCCTGAGGTAGAATACCTCATGATAAGCTGTAGACCACACTATCTACCAAGAGAGTTCTCATCTAAATTATTCATAGCTGTCTATTTACCACCACAAACCGATGCTGGCACTAAGACCACACTCAACGCGATAAGCAAACAAGAAAATGCTCACCCTCTTCAAAGAGGTATTCGATCACTCTCCTTCCAGTCGTCCTATAGGAGACCTCCTCATAGAACTTCAACAAGGACGCAAATCAGCTGTCGAGTATGCCCTTGAGTTCCGCACCATGGCTGCAGGGAGTGGATGGAGTGAGGTTGCTTTACTTACCGTCTACCGAAGAGGGCTCAACAGGGAACGTCAGGCGGAGCTGGCCTGTAGAGGTGACCTTCAGGATTTACAGTATAGGCTGCTGGCCAAGCTGTTACTCTCTAAAATATACTATGCAAGGTGTTGGAATATGCAGGGTATTGAGGATAAATAACATTGTAGCAAATTCAAAGGGCACCATGACAGGGACTGATGCACGCAACTCCATGTCTCTTCGCAGTCTGACAATGCACCGTGGCCGTTTGAATGGTATTGCGTTGGGGATACCGTGTGTGTGTGTGTGTGTGTGTGTGTGATGCCTTTTTGAACAAGTGCATGTATTAATCATAACAGATAATGGCAATGCACCATTCTACACATATCTACAAGGGATATCAATGCTGGGATAATGCATCTTGATATGGCCTATAGTGGTGACAGACTGTACTGTCAAACAAAGCTGAGAGAGAGAGGGAGCGTGAAAGACTACTGGAGATGTAGCTTCATCCAACTCACTGTAGTTAGCCAGTAAATTAGTCTAGGTTATGTTGTGCTGTCATTGTTTCAAAGGTTTTATGCTCTTTATTAACTTGATTTGAAGTTTAACTGTGGTACAATCATACACTGAGTCCACTGTGAAATTGAACAAGGGTTTATTAGACACATACATGAACACGTTCATGAGTAAGTCTTTGTCAGAGCTAACAAGCCGCAACTGATATGTCCTATTAATGACGTATGTCATTTTGTTTCTAAACTCAATAAAAAAATACAAAAAAACAGGGCACTGGTCGATCTACACCAGTTGTTCCCAACCGGTGTGCCGTGATGGTTACATCTGTATAGTTGTTTCAGGTCCAGTGCGCTCAGGCTGTTGTTACATTTATTTGTTACATTTGCAAGTGATATCAATGAGCTGTGACTTTGGTTTTTTCCATTTATATTTTGAGGTTGGATGTTAGCACATTAGCATGTGGGGTGCACCGATTGGCATCTTGATATGACCTATAATGGTGATTGACTGTACTGTCAAACAAAGCTTCTGATATATCAAACAGAACAAAAAAGAGCAGGTGGCAGTGGAGGGATCATTCAAATTACAGGTAACAAGTAAATAGCTTGATGTGGACACCAATTCAGAGACAAACTATGTGAAAGTGTCCAGGATTCATCTATAGGAAATACCACACAACTGAAAAAGATACACCTTGAGAGCATCATGTCAAACAGGACGTGTAAAGAAGGGGCTTTTCTTGAAAGACGGGGAATATTATATTAGGGGGCGTGTACTTCCAGGTATGAACAAAAATAAAAAATAAAAAAGTGAGTTTCTCTAACTCTATTTGGAAACGAGAAACAAGAAAACAAGTTGATATCCAATTTTCGTTGAAGTTTTCAAACAGAAAAATGATAAAACAATTAATTTCCTCTTGTTTGGTCTTGATGAGATGAAAGGAAATATGAATTATCCATAAGCACACTGACCCAACTGCATCAGAAACTGTTGACTTCATCTAGATCAATTAATTGTGATATTCATGAAATCTATTTGGATAAACTAGCTTGTCTTGCTGCTAAAACAAATTATGCAGGGAGTTGGTTTATCACTTAAAATTTAATTTGTTGGTGAAGTAAACATGTGTTAATAAAACATTAGTCTGTCAATACAGCAAATAAGTAGACATCGCTTGTATTCAAGACAAAGTTTATTTGCTCTGGTGATAAAAGTGAGTTTACACAGCAGTATGCAGGAACAGTTATGGCAATATATTACATATACAGTACAAGAAAAATTTACTAACGCTTATGATAAATACTAAATACTGTGTGGCTCAGGTGGTAGAGCATGAAGCTTGCAACGCCAGGGTTGTGGGTTTGATTCGCACAGGGGGGCAGTACGAAAATGTATGCACTCACTACTGTAAGTCTTTCTGGACAAGAGCATCTAGTAAAAATGTACTACAGTTCTACAAAGGGATTACTTGCATGTGGTGCAGAGAAGTCTTCAAAGTCACTTTGATACAAAGGGAGATTGTTGTTATGGGACCTTTCACATCTCCTCTTAAGAGTCATCAACTGTTTGTATCCAAGCTGTACTGTCTGTGTGAGAAAGATGAAAACGCAATTACACATTCATGGGCAATCGTTGTGCACTGTCTGTATTCCTACTGTAGCAGCATGGTGTAGAATATGAGACATCTCCAACATGTTAGCTAGCTACAACACACAGGTATAGTTACTCCAAGACTACTATGAGACATCATTCCTTTACTCTCTGCCATCATCAAAACATTTCTCCAGTTTTGCTCCTAATGAGAGGCACTGAGGCTAGCTAGGCTAGTTAGCTAGATAGCTATAACGTTAGACTACAGTATATTTTAGATAGAGCAAACACAGGCTAGCTTGGCTTGTAGTGGTACCTCTCATCAATGGCAAGAGTGTGCAAAGCTGTCATCAAGGCAAAGGGTGGCTACTTTGAAGAATCAAACATTTGTTTAAAACTTTTTGGTTACTACATGATTCCATATGTGTTATTTCATAGTTTTGATGTCTTCACTATTATTCTACAATGTAGAAAATAGTAAAAAAATAAAGAAAAACCCTTGAATGAGTAGGTGTGTCCAAACTTTTACATTTTACATTTTAGTCATTTAGCAGACGTTCTTATCCAGAGCGACTTACATGCATACATTATTATTATTATTTTTGTTTTCATACTTTTGACTGGTATTGTATATTTACAGTTTGTGAGTGTGTGATATGGAGTTGGAGACATGTTTATTTCCACCTTACAAAGACATTTTTTTTTTTACAAACAATGGGAACACTGCCATATTGCAGCACTGAGCCTGACACAAAACACAGGAAAACTGAATTTTGACTGCACTGGGTCTTTAGAGCTGAAGGACATGTGGGTTGTTGGGAGTGTCCATTCAGTTTTATTATGCGTATTTTCTATCTTTAAGAACTCTATAAAAACTCTGAAACTCCAACACCTTTCTGCTACTCATCTTTCTTGCACTCACACTTGTCTTTTAATAGCACTGATTGAATGTCACACTAAGTTGAATGCACGGATTGCAAATCACTCTGGATAAGATGGTATGCTAAATAACTATAGTGTAACTGAAATAAGATGGTATTTCAAAATAAAAGCAAGTAACTGGCTAACCCATGGATCCTGTCTTTTTGACATGCCCCTGTTGTGGAAATTCCAAATGTCGTGGAAATTATTTTACACAGGAACACTCGAAGTCAATCTTAAATGAATCATAGTTTTTTTGTCAGTGCGCTGGAGAGGTTCCAACCAACTCAATGCACCATAGAAGCTCTGCCAGGGCAGTCCCAGCAGTTGTCTTATATACGGCTATACACAGACAAGTTATATTTGCATGATTTAGCATAATTCATCATTAGCGTTTTGTTTCATTCATGTGACCAACCAATACTGGTTCATAACATGTGACAGACCAATACCTCACGAAGCTTCTTCTCTCTAAGCTAGGACCTTAAAACTGAGATATCTCAAAACAAAGGTCTGGGCGTACTGCCAGATTGCAGCTACTTGATGGTGAGGATTTGTTCAGTCAGTCACTTGCATGAACACAGAAATGGGTTATTAGAACAGCACATTAATATAACATAGAAATGTATAGAATAGAAAAGCACCAACATTAAAATTTCCATCATACCCCCAAGCCCAGAAAAATGGCACACTTAACCAGCATGGCTACCACAGCAATGTTATCTTACTTTGTTGCATATGGGAGGGGAAAAACCCATTTCCTTTTTAGGAGGTGGAATAAACCAGGGTGATGTTTTTGAATGTGAAACTATGGTGGTGGTGTGACTTTGGCTATGGTATTCAAGATAATTTACTGATTCATTACTGGAATAATTAATTTATCTAATTAATTTAATTCATTTGGTTATCCTATCCAAATGTATCTAAGAGGGGCACCATTAAGGGTTTTGATATAGAGAGACCCCTTGAATTA